CCAGGGGAGGAATAAAGCGGAGGGAGGGAGCAGAAAAAGAAAGACGGAGCCTTAAAGCCAGCTCACTCGTTTATCATTCCGGCTGCGTCGTGCATCTTGAAAGCACAGACACAAGAATGTAATGTCATAACATTCGCAGTTCAATAACCCCTGCTTCACAAGACGGCTTGAACTGTCAGAGGAGTTGGGAGGTAAACATTTCAGCTCAGGGGCTGAGCAGGGAGTGGAGGCAGAGATAAGCGGAGGAGAAAGGGGGAGAGAGAGCGCGTTCCACATTGGCATCTAGCTTCGGGGCATGTTAAAAAATATTCCCCTGCAGTAAATCCAGATCTGGAGCTCTGCGGGCTGGGAGGAGGGAGGGAAGAGGGCTGGAGAAAGGCCCATGATAACAAACGACCCGATCGTGAGCCAGACACCTTTATTGTTCTGAAATGTCTCCCAGCCAAGTTATGAATCTACAGCTTGACCCCGGGCCGTCAGCTTGTTATACGGCAGAGACAAAACTGGCTGCTGTCACGGCATCAAGACCCAGGCAGGAGGGCAGGTTGCTCTGAACTGCCCCCAATTCCCCTGCCTCGCCCTGCCCCCAGTTCCCCGAAGCCGCAAGCTGGATGCTGCCAACCTACTCAGTGGGTAATTACCGCGCCGGCTTGCAAGCAATAAAGCAGGCAGGAGTGTGTATCCACCAGCCCCGGACGTGCATGCAAGCGGCGCTTCTGTACGGAGGCATGCTGAGGGAGAACGGGCCACGCTCGGCCACGGTGGGTCCTGTGTGGCCGGGTCCCTGGGTGCCTTTATCCCATGCCGTTCCTGGGCACGAAGCATGCCCGTGATGGGGCAAAGAGAGCGAGACCCACCGCTTGTGACTGAGCTAGGGGGGTAGTCTAGCTAGCTCTGCGGGGAGGAGAAAGCTGGGGAAATGCAGGCCCTTCAAAAGACGGTGGGGGCAGGCTGTGCTGTATATTATTTACCATATTTATATGTTGCCTCAAGACAATCCACATGGCAAACAAGTAAATAAAACCATCATAAGACACCGTCTCCAGCAAACAAGCAGAGGCATCAAAACACGTGCAAAGCAAGCGCAAGAGAAGCTGTGTTGCCGGGTTTTTCCTTGATGGCGGCAAAGGGGAGGCTGGCAGCAGCCGCGGGCAAACAAGTCGCCCCAGGAGAAAAGGCCCCGCTCTTCCGCGGCCACCCCCTCACTCCAGAAGGTGAGGGGCGCCTGGTGAATCCGGCTGCACGTCAGAATCCGGCTGCCAAGCAGAGGGAAAGCCAGGCAGCGTGAGCCACACATGGCAGACGGGGTCAGCCAGCGGCGACCCTCAGTGCCTTCCAGCGGCCACGCCTGAACCCTCTTTGCACCGGGCCCCATTGGCTGTGGGGAGTTGCTGCGCCCCAGAGCATCCTGCTTTTTTACTGGTCCAGAGCAGGGCACTGATGGGTGCTGTTGCTCCTAAGACCAACCCCAGGAGAGGCGGCCTTGAGCCTCCCCTCCCATGGCAAACAGCCACACATCCTTTAGGAACCGCCCCCCACCATGGTGCTTCGAACAATCACACTGCAGTGCACGGAGGCACCAGCAGGGGGTGCTCCCGAGGCACTCCCCAAGTGACAAAAGCCCTTTGCCCCCCGCCCACCACGGGCACCCCCATAACTGCTTCTGCAGGCAAGCACAGATTTTCAATTCAGGCCTTAGCGTGTAAGTCGCACCACAGGTTTCGAAGTGGCCGAGCGTGGTTTATTTTTAACTGTTGTGCTTTAATTGTCTTTTTAATTTATTTGTATTCATGTTGTGTTTTAATTAAGATTTGGTTCTTAATGTGCCTTTTTATTATCAGTAGCTGCCATTTTGGGTGGAAAAACAAGATATAAATTAAACAAAGAGAACAGGGGATGAAGGGCAGTAAAAAGATTGTGTGTGTGTGCATGCGCGCGCACACAAGCTTCATGAGGAAGGGGATGATTAAAAGGAAATTGAGGAGCTGTAGCCTCACAAAGTAATTCTGAGCCCACATGCCCTAAGTTGCCACTAAGGTGGAAAAGCTCGCATTTCTGGACACTTCGATTCACCGGCAAAGGTTTCTACGACTTGTTGCACATAAGCAACAAGCAAGCAAGCAAGCAAGCCCGTTCACACAGAAAGCTGGCCTTGAATGGCTGGCTCCATGCAGCGTGTAGCCTGCCTGGGACAACGGCCTGGATGCAAACCATCCTTCAGCTCGCCTCTCCCAGCCCCCAAAGCACCCCCACCCTGCCAACTGCCCCCGGAGTGATCAGAAAGGATACTCCGCAGACAGAGACGCAAGCAAACATTCTGTGGTGTGCGGCAGTCGCTCTGGGTCAGCGCTTTGCCGAGCAATTCCCCAGGGCACCTGCGATGGCCCCCCTTGGAGCCTGGCGCTGCATGGAGGCCAGCAGCCTGCAAGCACTGAGGAGGGGGCGAGCCGCTCGCGGGCCTCCCAGGGTTTCTGGACTGCACCAGAGGAGCAGGAGCTCCGTGGCGGAGCCACCGCACGGCCCCTCGCCCCACCCCAAGGGCAACCCAGGGAGGGCTCAGAAGGAATCCTGCTGGAGCCCGGCAGAATGGCTGCCAGCCAGTGATGGCAGCGCTGGGCCGGATGGGACGGGCCAAGGGACAGACACGGGCCTCCGCCTGCAGAGGCAACGGTGAGCAGCCAATGGGATGTGCGGCCCTGGCGAGGACCGGAGGGCCACAAGCCGCTCGCCAAGAGCGGCTGGCTAGTCCTCACTGAGCTCACGGAGCGGCTGCTGGCCCTGGAGAGCGAGACACTCGGGGACGCTCCGCCCCTTCGAGGCACCGCCATCCTCACACACCTCGAGGTTAACCCACCAGCTCCGGCTCGTCCCTTTGCAGCCAGGCCAGTGGGAGGGAGCGCAAGGTGGGGATGAAGCCACCCTTGTGCAGCCGGAAAGCACGTGGAAGCCTTGCTGTCATGAGACAGCCCAAGCCGCCCCTGGCAGCATCTGGCCCCAGCCGGCTCAGCGCCGCCACGAGCCAGCCGGGCGGACCGAGCTCTGGCTGCAGACGCCACCAGCCAGGACAGACAGCACTTCGGGGGACGGGGGGGAGACAGCATGCAATGCCCGGTGCAAAGCCGATGCCACAGCTCAGGGGCGCCGAAAACGCGTTCCTTGCCTTTAAGGTGGACTCCCCACCTTTCTCGACAAGATAAACTTACTTCTCAGCCACCTTTGGCAGAGCATCCGTGACCAAAACACACAGCAAAAAACAGCCAGAGTATTTATTATATTTTTATTCCAACCTTCAGTAACTGAAAACCCCCATTCGTTGTGGTTTAAATACAGCATAAAATACAAAATAATGCAGATCTGAAAAGCATAAAAACACAAAGGCTAAAAGGCCATGAGATATCTGAAAGGCTGAGAAAAAGGAGACATGATAGCACTAAAATTACACTTCAAAGGCCTGGGGTAATAAACCAAAACAAACACAGAAACAGACAGTAAAACTGTAATATCCAGCAATCAAGGGTAGCTATGCAGGATGCCTTAGCCAGCCTCAAATGGCTCCTGAGAAAAGCCAGACTTTCCTCCCAGCTTCAGAAGGCACCTGGTTTGGGGCCAAGGGGCCTTCCAAGTAAGAAGGGCAACCTGCAGGGTTGGCACCACCACTAAGAAGGCCTGCAAATTTTATGCAAATAAAAACAGCGGTTACTATGCCTCAGAGAGTGATGGCGGACATTCCCTGGGACAACGAGATGTGCTTGGGCTTTCCTCCCACCCTCTTAACCTACATTTTTAACATGCTTCCTTGGCTCATGCAGGAGGGTGTCCCCTCATCCAGGTCCCTGCTCAATGCAGGAATCCAGAGGTGCAGCAGCCCAGCAAATGGCTGCCCTGAAGGTCAAAGATCTGCCCTACCACACCATATGGCAGCACTTGATTCACAGAAGCCTACACTCAAAGGGACCTCACAAGGTCATCTAGTCCAACCCACTCTGGAGGAGCAGAATCACCTGAATAGAAATGCTAACACAGAGGAATAACCTTAGTTTTCTGCTCTGTCCTTCAGTGACATGCAGATTCACCCGTATGAATGGGTTCCAATCACCTTCATTGCAAGAGGCCTTGATAAAGGCATGAGACCACACAAGAAGCTTCAGATGCCCACCATGGACCCCCTTGTCCAGCCCACAGGATCACGGTGCCCACCCTCTCACACCCCTCACTGCTACAGATTAGGCCGGCAGGAACCCTCTGGGGTCTCTGGCACCTAAGGCAAACATGCTTTCCCCAACAAGCATTTCCAGAAAGTTAATATTACCCCCTGTATGCAGCATTTAATTACATCATTTAAAAACTTGTTTTAATGGAAGCGAGCCGTAAACACAATTCAAGCCGTGAAATAATTAAATAAATCTTCAGCGCGCAGAGGGCAGCCATTTCCCTTGTGCCCTGCACAGTGTTGGGGGGTGGGGGTGGGGGAAGCGTCCCCAGCGCCGTGGTTCCCCAAGACGCAATCACACATCCGATGCCGCCACGCAAGCCTTCGGAAGGCAGACTTCCTCCGCGCGGCACCCTGAGCCGTGGGCTCCGGGCCAGCCCGTGGAGCGCAGCGACTCGCCACACCGCGCCAGCTGGTCTAAAATGGCAGCCAGGCGGGAGCGGGGCGAGGGGGGCGGGCACTCCCCACGCCGGGCGGGAGACGAGGCCCGGCAGAGCGGGCGCGCGCCTCCGGTCTCCCGCAAGGCAGAGAGAAGTGGGTCAGAAGGGCTTTGCCGCCGCTGCCTGACGCTGACGTGCGGCAACAGGCCCCTGGGTCTCGCTCTCCAGAACACCTGCTAAGGTCGCGGCGCCCCAGGGCAACCGTTCCGAGGAGGATCGCGGCGAGGCGGCAGGAGCAAGTGCAGGCCTCGCAACCGAGCAAGAAGCCGCCTGCCCGCCCGCCCGCCCGCCACTTGGCACGACTACACAGCAGCCGCCACCGCCGCCTCCGGAGCAGGTGACAGACGTGCCAGTGTTTACTCTATTATGAGGAAGCCGCCAGCCTGGCCCTGGCCGCAACAAAAGCAGGAAGCGGGGAGAAAGCATGAGGGGATTAACCCTGCCATCCCTGTGAGAAGGCAGCGCGGCGGCTCTCGGGGTCTCGCCCGCAGGCCAAGGGAGCTGGCGGAGCGTGGCCAGCCCACCACCCAGGCATCCGGCCTGCACTGCCCGCAACCCCTTTCTTAATCCGCTCGGGGTCTTGCAGGGGCTTCTGGCTCCCGCAGCGAAACGGGTCCAGCCACACGCAGAGCCAACCCAAGCCAAGCGTTCGCTTTCCAGGGCAGGCGGACAGATGCGGGCATGAAAGCTCACGCAAAAAGAGGGTGGGAGGGAAGGAAGGGCACCGCACTGCAGCTACTCGGCTCGTACAGGCAATCCCAGAGAGGCCCGGACATAACAGCTTAGAGATTCTGTCATACAGAGTGGGAAGCATGTACATTTTTGAATATTACTGGCATTAAAAACACCACGATAGTTTGAAGCCGGCGGCACTCTCGAGCAGTTAGACCACAACTCTCTGCTTCCTCCAGCCTTGCTGGAAGTCATGGGTCAACGCCTCCAAGGGCACCAGTTTGATCTGGAACAATTGCAAGCAACCAGTTTGGCACTAACAGCACTGTGGGTCCAGGCCCCTGCTTCATCCAATACAAGTGCCCGGCCCTATTTCTCATCCTGATTGCAAGTGGGCAAATTGAAAGATGTCTATGCAGACTTAAGGTAATATTTCTGGCCCTTTATCAGCAATGATTTAAATGTATCTATCCTTATTCATTTTTAAAAGTACTGTTACTCTTTCTCATTTCCTTTTCGCATGTCATTTTAGATGTATTTTATTTTCCAAAAACAGCAAGACTTTTTCAGTAAATAGAAGTTTTGTTTCCATAGTCCTGAACAGCTTGCCCCTTTCCTTGGCTCCTGGAAAGACCATCATCCGAGATCTGAAATGTTCTCCTGTCCCTGAGGAAGGAAAAACGGATCACGCTGCCTTCACAGAATGGAGCAGAGATAGATCACTTTTGGCTACTGATGCTCCCAGCGCACCACAGAGAAAGGAAGAGGCAGTGCTTTTAGAAGTCATTAATCTGCAGCCTCCTCTAGTGATTCCACCGCATCTCAACCCAAGAGCCTGCTTACTGCTGAAAGGGAACAGGAGGCAAGCCGACACCACCCCGCCACACACCACAAGCACACAAAGGGATGCTCCTCCCAGAGATACACGCACTGGCATCCTCACCGCTGCCTGGAGCGATCCTTCGCTGCAGTCGCCCTGCTAGGCCAAACCGGCCAGGAGCTACTCGCTGCCCCAGAGCCAAGAGGCTGCTGGTCATCTGAGGTGACCTACAAGCTCCCAGGCCTCTCTGGGCACCACACACCAACAGTCAGCACAAGAGCTGGCCCTCTTCTCCAGAGCTGTGGCCAGCCTGTGGAGCTCCCCGGCCCAGGGGGTGTCTGCCAGCAGCACCCTCCCTGACAGGGCCCTCCTGTCCCGCCACCCTCGGCCCAGCCAAGACTGGCTCTTGCTTCGTTTTGCTTCAGATCCCTTCCCAGCTTCCAAAAAGGCTGCGTTTGCTGTTATGACCACTTTCCTCCTCAGCTGCGGCCATGTCATTCGATTTGGTTCTTTATTTCTTCCCTTTCGCGTAATAAGGAGCCTGATGCAGCTTCAAGCAAGACAGAACGGCAGGACACACCTCTTACAATAAGGCGGGCAAACCCCACCCAACAAAGATAACAACGCTTATCGGTTTAAACCAGAAGCACAAAGCCTCTTTCTCCCCAAGAGCCCGATTCCCTTTTGGAAAGGCTTTGGGGGGCACGTTTTGGCCCCGGGTTGGGCTGCAGGCAAAAGGGGCAAGCTCAAGGAAGCCAATCTCCTTTTACTGGAAGCTCTGACTGGCAGGCACTGAGCCTCCAAGACACAACTCGGGCTGTTGGAAGGCTGGAAAATCACACCAAGGCCAGAAAACTGCAACATGCGTGGAGAGGAAGGCCCTTGCCGAGTCCTCCCCGTGACGCTCTGGCAGCTGCTAGTGGAGGGCCTGCGCATTCCTTCCAAGCCACCACAGCCACAGCTGACCGATCGGACAGGCAGAGGTCCCAGTCCCTGCCCCCTCTCTCCTAGGGGAATTAGTGGCAGCTGCAGCTCTGGTCCCAACAGCTCCTGCGCTCGCCCATTTGACCGAATCAGAGTTGCGAAGCCCAGAAGCGGCTCCTTCCCCTGGAGCAGGGTGCCGACGCTGAGGCGGGGGTCACACCCTGCCGGCTTGGGTCCCTCTGGTGTCCTCTCCCCCTTCCTCTGGTTCCCCGCTCTTTCCTGGCACTGTGGATTACTTGGTAGTCTGGCCACACGCATTGCAAAAGGCCGACTGACTCCCCAAAGGCTTAACTCCTGGCAGTAAGAGCTTTAAAAGAACATCTTTTCTTCATTCAGTCATTCCGTTTCTATCCTACCTGTTTCTCTCTTGCAAGAGCCCTGGGCAGCTTATATAGCCCCCTCTGGTTCGACCCGCATGACGACCCAGAGGGGTAGGAGAGGCTGAGCGTCAGTGACGGGCCCAGAGTGACCCAGTAAGCATCAGGGCTGCACATGGACCCGATTCTGCAGCAGGTACAAGAGCGTGACTTGACAGGGCGCTGCTGTTCCTTGGAGAACAACAGCCAGCCGGGGTGGGGTGGGGAAGAGAAAGGCTGTGCGCACAAGCACGCACACTCATCCCCCAGGGATGGACTCGCCCCGCTCCACGGCCGGTCGTGTGTGAGCATGCCTGCACACGCATGCCAAGCTGCCTGCCTGCACTGGCCTCCCCTTTCCTTAGGGCTGGACAATTCCTAGTGGAAATAAACAAACATCTCTCCTCGCCAAACAGTCCCTGAGAAAACAAAATTAACTAGCAGGGAAGCCGCTCCCTCCAGCGCCACCAAGGACTACTCCCCTTGAATCCACAGCTCTTCTAACGCAGCAATTAGAGGCAGCCATTAATATTTCAATATTGCCAGCTCCGGAGGAAAGAGACCAAATTCACACACAGATGGGGGGGGGGGGGGGAGAGAGAGAGAGAGAGAGAGAGAGAGAGAGAGAGAGAGAGAAGGCAAACGTGTTGGGAATCGCTCGCTTGCTCTCAGCCCAATTAAATCCTGCATGCCACTTGCAGGTGAAAAATAGCAGCCTCCCCATTGAGAAGATCCAAGAGGAGTCCAAGCCAACAGGTTCCATCAAACAAAGGTCCACAGAACCCGTGCACACCTTAGTTCTGGGGTAGGACTCAGGGCACTGACAGGGGTGGGAGGATCCATGTGGTAGAAGGTGACTCACGCCTCTGAAAAAAAATGTCTCTCTGTTCTCCATTTGTACACGGAAAACAGCAAACTCTCTCATACAATTGTTATGAGAATGAAAACAAATGAATGCGGCAAATTTAGAAGTATGGAACAAGCAGGCAGGCAAAATGAGAAATGTTGAAGGGTTTCCCCATTTTAGCAGCTTGAGGCACCCCTTAAGGTTCAGGCTTCAAGGAGCATGAAATTCTGCTTTAGCTAGAGGGGAAGTGAAGTTGCTAGTCCTCATGGACTCATTTTGAAACCAGCAGCAGGCTCCAACATCAGTAGACATGAAGGCCATTTCGAAAGCACACTTACCCCCCCACGGATGTTTATCCTCCCCCCCTCCCTCCCCCAGCCACTTTCATTCAGCTGCTAGGGCCACTATTTGGGGAGCTGGCTGTCTTGGAAAGCCACTGACGAAGGCGAAACGGGGAGGGGAGGGCTTCAGAGATTAGTGAGAGAGCCATGTGGGTGGCTGCACAGCGCAGACAAATGAAATGAAAGACTGTCCATACAAGGTCACAGGGCTTGAAAGGGAGATAACAAAACGAGGAAGGAGAAGGGCAGAGAGAGGCGGCGGGGAGGGCCACGGGGTTAACGCCAGAGAAAGCCGCGTGGAGGCTGTGCATTTAAGTGGAAAGAGAGTAACAGGCGATTCCATCCGTTCCCCTGCGCTCTCAGTCGCGGATCGGCATGGGCCCATTGATTCCAAGGGCTAACCGGGGGCCAAAAGACCCAGCCCCTGCACGAAGCTCAGCCTCTGCGCTCACGGAGAAGCAAGCGGGCTGGCGGAGTGGGCCGCAGCTCCGAGGCCCTGTGTGATCCGGCGCACCGCTTGCCCGGTTGGTCTGGCCAGAGCAAATCAAGCTGTCAAGATGAACGATTGGGGTCTTTAGGAGGGAGCGGCGAGCGCCAGCCTCTGCAGGGACCCAGGCTGCCCACCCAGGCGTCTGGGCGGAGGAAGGCGAACTGAGCCCCAGGCTGAGCACATTCGAGGGGGGCCTGGTCGGGGGACAGCTGCTCCGCAGCACGGCCAGGCCAGGCCCCCTGGGACATCCCCCTCGGGCTGGAGGCCAGTGCCCTTGCGCCCTTCGATGCGGCTGATGGCGCTGTGCAAAGGCCTCCGGAGACACGATGGCCGGCAAGACAACTCCAGATCAGGAAGAGTGGGCGAGGCTGGCTCGGGGATCCCTCCCAAGAGCGCAGGCCAACTCGCCCTTCTGGATAGCCCCCTGCTGAGGACGAGTCCCATGGCCGGATCGCATCAGCGCAACGGGGCCGTCTCCAGCGGAGAACGGCCCTTGCTGCTTCAACACAATGGAGCTGTGAAGACCGGAGCGCATGGATTTCCAAAAGGCAGTGCTGTCGGGCAAGCCTGGAGCACTCCCGCCAGAGGGAAGAGGAGGTCTGTGGGAAAGGAGGGACTGTCACATGTGCTACAGCCCTCAGCAGACACCCACACAGAACTTTATCCGGGAGGAGAGACGGTGGCCGTCAAGGCAGGTGATGTGAACTTGAAAAAGCCTCACAAAACCTTGGTCCAAGTGGGAAGGAGAGAGAGAAGCACATTTATTTTTATTTTGTTTCAGTTTTTACAATACCCTACCCTATTCCCATGGGCTCCGAGTGGTGTATAAGAGCTTAAAACCAACAATAATTCAGATTTAAACTGAAAGCAAGCATGTTAAATAAACTAATGAAGTCCTTCTGATAGCTTTTAAGCCAGTCTTTCACTCTCCCTGGAAGGGAGCAGCCCAGGATAGCTCACACTCTTTTCCCAGTAGGCCATTCCCATAGTTTCAGGCAAGCACTGAGAAAGTCCTCCGGATACTTGGCATTCATCTTGCAGAACAAAACACATGCATGCAAGGACACACACACACACACACACACACAGAGAGAGAGAGAGAGAGAGAGAGAGAGAGAGAGAGAGAGAGAGAGAGAGAGAGAGAGAGAGCGCGCGCGCGCGCGCGCGCGCGCGCGCGCAGTCCTCCTCCCTGGCAACTGTGGCCAAAAGCAATGGACTGCAGCACTCCCCTCTTTCCAGAACTGTGCCACAATTTTGCCACCGGGGGAAAGGGCGGGCAACTGCAGAGTGGGCAGAGAGTGTGGGTGCCGCTGTCCTTCTCGCACTTCACACAGGCGGGGCCGGTGTGAAAGGCAGACAGCCTCACGGAAGCGCCAATTTGAGGTTACTCTCTGGTTACTAGCTCAGCCCGCCCTCGCTTCTTCACCAAAACCCCAGCAAATTAAAATGTCCCCTCCCTCCCTCACACACGCGCGCACACACACGCACGCACGCACGCGCGCACGCACACACACACACAAACACACACACAGAGCACTCAGGCAGACAGGGATCCAGACACAATGCAAGCAGAAGCAAACTCAAGCAAGCCAGCCCACAAGCCGCTCCGGAAGCGCCCGTCCCCACCCGCCACACCACGGCCGCTGCAGCCTGGGCCAGCGAGGGGATGCTCCGGGCCGGAGACCCGACTTATCCTGATTCAGCTCATTCCAAGCCATGGATCACAACAAGCCTGGGAGTGAAGCAGCAACCACTTGGATTTGGGCCAGGGACTTTTGCTCCTGCTCAGAGACTGAATGAAACGATGAAGACGGAAAGTTGTCCTTCCCAGCTGTTCACCTGGAAAGGGTCTTTTAACACTTTCAACAGAAGGCTTGAAGCCAGGGATGCCAACCCAGGACCTTCCGTCTCCAAAGCCTGCGACCTACAGCTGAGCCAGTCCTTCCCCCAGTTTGGGCTAAGAAGAAATTTGCACGCAGGTCAGAGCAGGGAATGTTCTGCCGCCTCCTCCTCCAGCACATGGCTTGGCTCACTCACCCGAGCTCTCTCCCATTCTCATGCAAGTGATGGCTGCGGCTGCCACTTTCTGCGGCTGGGCACAGGCGGGAAGGAGGAGCTGGTACCGTGCCACAAGTGGGTTGGCCTTGTGCAGCGAACCCACATCCATCCAAGACGCAGGCTGTGCTGCGCCGGCCCCGCTTGGGTGCCCCCACACTTCCCTCCCTGGTCTCCCCTGGCCAGCAGGAGAGCTTTGGAGCTCGCATTCACACTTCCTCCGACCGACCGACCGGAGGGAGGAAAGGAAGAGGCAGCTCCTGCCCAGAGAGAGAGGAACCATCAGCACTTGCACACGCTCCCAGCCTCCCTCCCCTCTGGGTTCTGGGCTGCCATCCAGCTGGAAGCCAGCGAACGGGGAAGGACACCCGGGCGGCAAGTCAGAAAAAGTTCGCCTCCCACTGCTCCGGGAAGAGGCGGAAGGACCCGGGCTTCCTCCAGTCTGCCCAGCGTGAAAACGGGGCTGAGCTGTCCCAGAGACGGGACACTCGGCCACAGCCATGTGAAGGGGGGGGGGGGCTGAGCTCAGCAGGAAGCGGGATGGCTCACTGCAGCCAGGCAGCGGGCCAAGGCGACCCTGGCAGGCCCCACGACCCCCAGGCCCCGAGTCCTGCGCACGCGCTGATGCAGCCTCAGGTGGCCTGGTCACCAGCTGGTGGCTCCAGAGACCCAGCAAGGCAGCATCAGCCAGCCCGGCCACGAACTCCGAAAGGCAGCCAGTGATGGGAGTGCCAGGGGAAAGAACTCAGAAACACAGAAACAGATCGCGTCGGAAGGGGTCTCCTGGGCCATCTAGTCTGACCCCCAGCTCCAGCTCCCCGCCCATGCCTACCCAAGTTGCAGGCACCAAAGTGCACCAAGAGTTCTCCTGCGCTGCTATCACATGGGAGACTCGCTCTCATCACTTCCTACACCACGTTATTTATCATGCCGTAACAAATCTGTTAGCATGTTTTTGGGCAAGGACTAAGGAAGGTAGTTCAATCTACTAGTCCTCACTGCCTATACAAAACAGCAGGCCTCATAGCACTTTGAAGAGAAGCAGATTTATTACAGCACAATAAATAAATTTTATGTATGTATTTATTATTTAATAATAATAATAATAATAATAATAATAATATAAAAAATAGGTGTTGTGCCTGACAGGCGTGTGCGTGTGTGAGTGTGTACACAATCACAGACATGCAGGGGGCAAGTAATCGCAAATAGCATGATCCAAGACAACCCTTTGTCAAGGTGAAAC